CGGCTTAAACTTTAAATTGGCGTGTTCACAAATTTCTGCATATAGTGCAAAGAGTTTATCATCACCTTTTTAAAATTTTGGAGAAATTTTTATCGGATATCTTTAAAAACCTATATCTATATATTAATGGAAATTTCTGAACGCGGTTTTCCCACTGTTTTCAGTTTGCAAAACACGTAGAAAAACCTTTGTCGAGTTTTTCTGTCGGAAATGAGATACGGTAAAAATACCTTCTTCGAAACAACCTATCTCATTTCTGACAAAAAGAGTCAGCAATGTTTTTGGTTGATTTATAGTTTTTCTTAATAAGATGAAAACTCTGGTGAAAACCGCGTTCCGAAATATCCATAAATAATTGTAAATTTGATTTTTAAAGATAAATGACGAAATTTTCACTAGAATTTTAAGAAGACTAAAATAAATTTAATTCACAAAAAATACCTTGACAAATTAGTACAGAAAATGAAAAAAAAACTGAAACTCTTGAAATTATATGAATATATTTTTTAATAAGTAGAAGTAAAGTTCGACGAAAGATATAGTGCGGTTATTATTTAATCGCCTTCACCCTGCGGTTTAAACATTAAATTAATGTGTCCACAAATTAAAAATTTTGGTGAAATTTTTCATCATGCTAAGATAAAACTAATTTTGGCAAATCACGTACCCTCTAAGAAAACGGAGGGTGGGTGGGCGGGCCTAGTACTGGCCAAGATAAGAATGAATAATATTAAGAGCAGTCATTGGAATGAAGAGGGGGTCGGTGAGCGGGGCGACTGTTTGCTTATAAAACTCTTTAGAAAAATCTAAACTCAGCTCCGCCCACCTCTTTGGGGGCCCCTAGTGTTTTTTTCAGAATTCAATCCCTAATGGTTAATTTCAGGTTGTCTAGACGTTTTACACGATATAGAAAATGAAAATAGATCCCCCGTTTTTGTCCATATAATATTATTGATTAAATAAAAAATTGCCCACGTGTTATTAAAAAAATTGGTTGAAGATTATTTCGACAGAACTTCCCTCGCCTCGACTTTTTGCTTGAATTTTTGAATTCTACAATTTTTCATTTTTTTCCAAGTTTAAAATTTTCCAGACTGGAAAATCACATCACCTCTAAGAAAATAGAGGGTGGGTGGGCGGGCCTAGTACTTGCCAAGATAAGACTGAACAACCAATATTTCATTTACTTATGGAAATTCCGGAACGCGATTTTTATCAATGTTTTCAGCGTCAAAACTCCTTCGACACAACTTATCTCATTTCCGATAAAAAAAAAAACTCGCGAATGTTTATATTATAGAGTTTTTTCTGTAAGATGAAAACCGTGGTGAAAACGGCATTCCGAAATTTCCAAATATTACTGAGGTATTGATTTTTAAAAATACGTGATGAAAAATTTCAACAAAATTTTAAAAATACAAAAATCGATTTCACAAAAAGTACTTTGGAAAAATGGACAATGAATATAAAACAACTGAGGCTTTTTAAAAAGTAAAGTCTCTAATTGCTATCAACTTGCGGTAATTTTTATGAGTTTGGCACAATGGTGGCCGTAAATTTACTTGCCTGACAAGTCCTTCCCCTATTGTACGAGTAATAAATTGAAATTATTTCACTACGACACGTGGCTCATCTAACTGGTGGAAAACATGCTGGTGCTTGTATTTATTAAACTTTATGAGAGATCCGTTGTAAAATGCTTCAGTCGTAATCGCCGAATATCTTTTTACTTTTTCATTTATTAACAGAATTATCGTTATGAAATTAAAAATTAAAAAAAAAATAACATGTCCACAGTTTTCTCGATATAATCCATGGGCAATTTTTTACAGTTTATCACCATCTTCTTAAAATATTGGTCTTTGTTTCATCACGTATATTTATAAATCCACACCTCAATTTTTTATGGAAATTTCGGAACGCGGTTTTCACCACTGTTTTCAGCTTACAAAATTCTATAAATCGTAGGAAAAGCATTGGCGACTGTTTTGTCGGAAATGAAATACAGGAAAAAGTACACAGCCTGATTTTACTATGTCTAATTTTCAAAAAAACAAAAAGAAATAAGAGTTGACAATGTTTTTCCTGTGATTTATAGAGATTTGTGAGTCGTGAAATTCACTTTCAAAATTATTTTATTTCACAAATTCACAAAAATACTTATTAGGCAAATAAATACTGAAAATAAAAAAAAACTAAAGCCATTGAAATTATATTTTTTTAGTAGAAGTAAAGTTCGACGAAAGGTATAGTGAGATTATGGCTTAATTGCTGCCTAACTTAAAGTAATTTTTAACGGTTCATCACATCCCCGTTAGGTGTGTTGGTCTTCCTGCCTTCTTCGACTTTAGTGATTTTTAGGTTTATTATCAAATTTGAAGTTTTTCAAAAAGCGTTTCATATTCGTATGTTTTAATTTTTTAAAAACTTCTACTCTAGGTTAAAACGAGTGTAAATAAGTCAGGTAGAGTTTCATTGACTATTTTATCTCTATTTCGGTATAATATCTACGTTAAAGTTGCGATCTAACCTATAAAATTAACTTTTTGACGTTAGTAACTTCAGTGTTATTCACTGGATTTTCGGGTACCCAATTTTTTTTTGCAGACAGTGACAACATTTTATTCATTTCGTAGTATAACAAAAAACGTAAAAATTGTTTAGGATGAATCCCAATGGGAGCTAATTGTTCCCGGTTTTTTGGTCTATCTACCGAAATCGATATTTTGTTTTTGTTAATGGACTCAAGTTGACGTAAGAATTTTTTTATGATTTTTCTCGAACTTGGACTTGTGAACTTAAAAATGTATCGGTGAGTTGGTGCGCCATTTCTGAGCACCCTGTATAATTTTTTATTTGAAAAATTTAGGTGTATAAAACAGACACATTAAAATTTTAATAGTTAAAGAAAACTATTTTTTTACAAGTGTTTAATTTCATGTTTTGCTCAAATGTCACAGTTCATAATCTACGAAAATGCAAATTTAGTATGCCGGAGTAGACAATAATGTGTGATATTATCAAGTCTATAAATCTGAAACTTCAAAATAAACACATGTGTTAATATGATCCGGGAGATGATAAGATGGTAAAGCAGCAAAAATTGATTGCATTCTTTCAAAATCTTGTAAATGAACCCTGTTTTATCTGTACGGTAGATATGATACTATCTATTATCTATTGTTTAACAGACGACTGCATTCTTTAATATTACGTAAACCGATTGTCTTGAAAATATTAATTCGAACCATAAAATTATATTGCTATTACGCAATTGATAAGGTTTTACTAATTTAAGCATTACCAACAACGAACTAAAATTTAGTTATTCATCTCGAGAAAGTTAAAGCGATCACCCCGAAAAATTATTAAACAAATCTATTGAATATTTTGAGGTTCATTTCACTATTTTGTATAGCATGTAATATAATACAATAGTGCTAATATTTTAAAAGTTAAGAAGCTTAAATATTTCAAAAATATAATCAACCATTTGTTGGTCTAAATGGATTATAGCTGACTTAAGTACAAAACTGTCAACAGTACAAGACAAACAAAAGAAAATTATACGAAACACAAACGCTCTGAAAAGGTCTCAAAATGAGTTACAGCGTTTTGTTCCTTATGCAGATTCTGACCTATTTTTACCGATCTGATGCTTTGCGATGCCTTACTGAAATGGTAAAATTTTATTACATATGTTTAAAACGTTTTTGGCTATCGTTCATCTGAATTTTCTTTAAACGAAATTAATGACTGCAGAAATAACCATTACCTACTCACAACTTTTATTGCTTTAAATTATATGTATTGCTAATTGTAAACTTTATGGATGAGCAGTTATTTTTCTTGTAATCGTTGGTCCAAACATAAAAATTCTGTGTTGAAAATAGTACTATACATAATGTAAACAATGAAGTAACGACTTAGCAAAAGTCATGAACTTGACGAATTCTTATCTTGTTTATAATACACGTGTGTAGTTTAATTTGTACCAATAATGGGTATACTACATTTGTTCCAAATAGTCTAGCAAGTTTTATTTATCAAATTAATATTGCTAATTTAAGCAACATGGTTTTGAACTTAAACTGCTAAATTTTTCAAGCTACACTATATTTTTTATAAAAACATCAAATCATGAAATCTAACAACAGCAATATATCTTCTTACCTCATTCTTAAAAAAATACACCGTTATGAACACTCTTTTCTTCTCAAAGAACTTTATAGGTCACAAAAATCAAACAAATCTGCTGAAATTTATTGTGTTCGAGCTCACACATTTTCGATAACTCGTTTTGACAAAAATTTATGGTTTCATTCCGCCAACGAAGAAAGTTTTCGTAACTGAAATCTGGGTTTAGATAATTTTATGTAAGACCGCAAAACTGGGCCACTTAAAAAATAAAATGTAGATTTTAAAATATCTCGAAGAAAAACGCGAGACGAATTGCAGTCACTTCATACCCGATTTGCATAACATCAGACAACAAACTGTTTCGTTGTAGGATTTTTGACACAAGTTGTTGTTTTCGAGTTCTTGAGCACGCGACACTTGGATATCAGTCATGTTCTTGCATAAACGTTAAATCGAATTAACATAAGAGCCAGTCGCATCGGATGAAAATATACAAGTTTTGTCTGTTATCTCTTCTCACGCCAGCGACCGTAAAAAGTTCTGACATTCAACACCGGGGTGTGGTAGACATTCCATGAATTTGTCTTATGATATCCCGTTGATTCAACACTTGAAGTAAAATTTATAAGCTCGTGTTTGTAAAGTGCTCTGTTTTAAATGCGAGCTTTGATAAGTATAACAACCTGCCCACATCCTGACCTGAATTGAAGACTATCTTCGCCAGCTTCTGAAGCAACAATGTTCATAGCCTCTCTTCATCAAGAATTAATAGCACAGATGCTTCATACTTTTAACAATGCTCGGATATCCGCATCTTCAGACAATACGAATAGAATCGACAGTTTTGAAAATGAACTCACCTAAAATTGATTGGTGGTCGCTGAGGTAAACCTCTTGGTCACTAACATGAATACAGCCCACTCGTGATCGTTTAAAGCTTATAAATTCCAAGGTTTCACTAAACAGCGTCAAAAATCAAGCAAAATACACCACACACCACACGCGCTTGTCCAACGCTCTTCGGTCGCGGCACCTCAACAGTACTGACGACTCAGGTGCTTTCTTGGCGATCAGGTGAAGTAAGTGGGGAGAAAGAAGTTTTGTCTACCTCCTTAAATAATAGTTGATTTACCTCTATTTTAATAAGTAAAACCGATCGAGAATTGTCCAACGTTTTAAGTCGTACCGTCCAGGTACTAAAATAGAAACTTCGGTGACTTCAACACTCAGAGACGCGGCGAACCCAAATGCAGAATGAGGTGGAACACAAAAAAGAGACCAGGTAAATGGAAAAAATTCTCCACACAAAAGATATTTCATGGTTGCCGAATGGAACGTGTAGGCATTTTTGGACTGATTGAATTTCAGATTACGGCGGTTTTAACGAAATTTTATGCAGATATAATAAGGCAAAAAACGGTCAGTATTATTTATAGTGCGAATAAGAATTCAAGTGGGTTTAAATATTTCATATTTTGCTGAGTTTATTATTTTTAAATGGAACAATGCGGTGATACGTAGGCGAAAATTAAGCAGTCGGTGCGAGTGCCGTTAGTTCTTGATCATATTTTACCTGATTCATCAAAGCCGCAATTAGAAAGCTGACCATAGTACCACAATATAATAGGGATTACACCCGCATTCAGGGTACCGTTATTGCCTTGTTTCGTATTTTAATTGACGATTTTGCATATTTATACCTATTTTCCGACGAATGCAATCTATGTAGGCAAAATTTCATCTCCAAACATAAAGAGGGAATTAATTTAGAAAAAATGGGTGTTTTAAATCTCCGAAAGCTCATTTGTCTGAGTTTTATGGTATAAGGTTTTTTGTTCCACCGTAAGTTGTAACAGTTTAGTAAACAGACACAAGTTTCATAGGCTTGCCTGATTATGAAATCGGTGAAGCTTGTTTTTGTATACAACCGTTAGGAGATATAGGTAGATATCTTTTCCGAAGTGTTGATATAAGTATAATTTAAACAACACTTAACTTTAACCGATATTTTTATTTATTAGTATCAGCTGGGATTGTTTTTGTAGAATTCAACCCTTAGAAATTATTTTAGGGTTCATTTCTTCGAAAATTTCTACAATTTTTGCAGAATCGCCAATTGAAATATGGCATTTTTAGGATTATTAAAAAATTTGGTTTTCAAATAAAAAGTTCGTAAGTGTCATAATAATTTAAAATAGACACTTGTGTCCCTGAGATTCCTTCATAATCTTAAAAAACACACTCGGGACCCCCGAGATTCTATAATAATATTTTTAGAGATTCAAACAAATATGAATTTTGCGGTTAAGCTCCGCCCTTTAATCTGACAAGCAATGAAAAATTCATCATAATTGAAGTAGTGGTGGGTGGGCGGGGCTTAATTAATTATGGGTTTCTTTTTCTTAATATGTACATTTAGTTTTCTTTCATTAACAAAAATCTTAAAATATTGGGGTTACCGAAATTGTGTCATAATAATTTCAAATATAAATTCGTGGTCCTCAAAATTGTATCTATTATAATCATTTTAAAATTGATACATGTGACCCTCGAAATATTATCATGATTATTTAAAATTGACACTTGTGACTACCGAGATTTCTTCATAATCTTCTTAAATCTCCAGGATTTTTAAAATCATCTTTTTAAAGAATCAAACAAATATGAATTTTGCAATTAAGCTCCGCCCCTCAATCTCACAACCAATGAAGAATTGGCCACAATTGAGATAGGGGCGGGTGGGTGGGGCTTAATCATTGGCTTCCTAATGTACAAAGTTTTCTTTCAACAACACGATACTTAAAACATAATTAAAAGAAGATTATGAATTTTACGAAAAGAAAGTCGATGGCTTAGCACGTTAAGATCTGTATCTCAATTTTTTTGTCGACTTTTTGGGGACATTTCCAAAAGCTCAGTTTTCAACACTCCTCCTCTATGAAATCTTTGATCATTTTTAACCACCTTCGAAAATTACAACGACAAATTGATTTAATAAAAAATTCATCATAATTGAGGTAGTGGTGGGTGGGTGGGGCTTAATTAATCATGGGTTTCTTTTTCTTAATATATATAGTTTTCTTTCAATAACACAAATCTTAAAATATTGGGGTTTCTGAAATTGCGTCATAATAATTTAAAATATAAATTCGTGGTCCTCAAAATTGATACACGTTGCCCTTGAAATGTTATCATAATCATTTAAAATTGACACTTGTGATTACCGAGATTTATTCATAATGTTCTTAAATCTCCCGATATTTTTTACTCATCTTTATATAAAGAATCAAACAAATATCAATTTTGCAATTAAGCTCCGCCCCTCGATCTCACAACGAATGAAGAATTCGCCTCAATTGAGCTTAATCATTCGCTTCCTAATGTACAAAGTTTTATTTCAACAACACGATACTTAAAACATAATTCTAACCTCAAATGATCATTTTAAGTATTTTATTCTTGAAAGAAGATTGTAGATATTACGAAAAGAAAGTCGATAGCTTAGCTTTGTGGATTTTTTGGCAACATTTCCAAAAACTCAGTTTTCAATACTCCTCCCCTGTGAAACTTTGATCATTTTTCAAAAACACCTTCGAAAATTACAAGGACATGTTTTTGTAGATTTCGAGCATAAACACGCTGTATTTTTCAAATAAGCACGTCGAGATCAAATATCTCACAATTTTTTTGGATTTTAAGGACATTTTTCCAAAGCTCAATTTTTCAATATCTTACGAAATCTTTTACCATTTTTCAACCACCTTCGGGTATTAGCTGAGACTTTTTTTTTAATTAAACTTTTAGAAATTATTTTAGGCTTCATGTCTTCGAAAATTCCTACAATTTTTGCAGAATCGCCAATTGAAAAATTGCATTTTTTAGGATTATTAAAACATTTGGTTTTAAAATAGACACTTATGGCTCTGACATTCCTTCATAATCTTAAGAAACACACTCGGAACCCCCGAGATTCTTCAAAAATCTTTCTAGAGATTCAAACAAATATGAATTTTGCAATTAAGCTCCGCCCTTCAATCTGGCAAGCAATCAAAAATTCATCATAATTGAGATAGTGGTGGGTGCGCGGGGCCTAATTAATCATGGGTTTCTTTTTCTTAATACATACATTTATAGTTTTCTTTCAATAACACAAATCTTAAAATATTGGGGTTTCCGAAATTGCGTCATATTAATTTAAATTTAAATTTGTGGTCCTCAAGATAGTATCATAATCATTTTAAAATTGATACACGTGGCACTCGAAATAGTATCATGATCATTTAAAATTGACACTTCTGACTACCGAGATTCCTTCATAATCTGCTTAAATCTCCAGATTTTTTTAATCATCTTTTTAAAGAATCAAACAAATATGAATTTTGTAATTAAGCTCCGCCTTTCCACCTCACAACAAATGAAGAATTCGCCAGAATTGAGATAGGGGTGGGTGGGCGGGGCTTAATTTGCTTCTTAAAGTACAAAGTTTTCTTTCAACAACACGATACTTAAAACATAATTCTAACCTCAAATTCATCATTTTAAGTAGTTTTGTCTTGAAAGGGGATTATGTATATTACGAAAAGAAAGTCGATGGCTTAGCACGTTAAGATCTACATGTCAATTTTTTTGTGGATTTTTTGGCAACATTTCCAAAAGCTCAGTTTTCAATACTCCTCCCATGTGAAATCTTTGATCATTTTTCAACCACTTTCGAGTATTAGCTGAGACATGTTTTTTTTAATTCAATTCTTAGAAATTGTTTTAGGCTTCAATTCTTCGAAAATTCAGACCATTTTTGCAGAATCTCCAATTGAAATATGGCATTTTCTAGGATTATTAAAAAAAATTGATTTTCAAATAAAAAGTTCGTAAGTGTCATAATAACATAAAATAGACACTTGTGGCCCTGAGATTCCTTCATAATCTTAACAAACACACTTGGAACCCCCGAGATTCTTAAAAAATCTTTTTAGAGATTCAAACAAATATGAATTTTGCAATTAAGCTCCGCCCTTCAATCTGACAAGCAATGAAAAATTCATCATAATTGAGATAGTGGTGGGTGGGGCTTACTTAATCATGGGTTTCTTTTTCTTAATATATACATTTAGTTTTCTTTCATTAACACAAATCTTAAAATACTGGGGTTTCCAAAATTGTGTCATAATAATTTAAAACATAAATTCGTGGTCCTCAAGATTGTATCATAATAATCATTTTAAAATTGATACACGTGGCCCTCGAAATATTATCATGATCATTTAAAATTGACACTTGTGACTACCGAGATTTCTTCATAATCTTCGTAAATCTCCAGAGATTTTTTAATCATCTTTTTAAATATTCAAACAAATATGAATTTTGCAGTTAAGCTCCGCCCCTCGATCGCACAAAGAATGAAGAATTCGCCACAATTGAGATAGGGGCGGGTGGGTGGGGCTTAATCATTGGCTTCCTAATGTACAAAGTTTTCTTTCAAGAACTTAAAACATAATTGTAACTTCAAAATCTTCATTTGAAGTATCTTATTCTTGAAAAAAGATTATCTATATTACGAAAAGAAAGTCGATGGCTTAGCACGTTAAGATCTACATCTCAATTTTTTGTGGAATTTTTGGCGACATTTCCAAAAGCTCAGTTTTCAATACTCCTCCCCTATGAAATTTTTGATTATTTTTCAATCAGTTTCGAAAATTACAAGGACATATTTTTGTAGATTTCAACCATAAACACGTTGTATTTTTCAAATAAGCACGTCGAGATCAAATATCTCACAATTTTTTATAGGTTTTTAGGACATTTTTTCATTATCTTACGAAATTTTTTATCTTTTTTGCAGAATCACCAACTGAAATATGGCATTTTTTAGGATTATTATTAAAAAGTTTGGTTTTCAAATAAAAAGTTCATAAGTGTCATAATAATTTAAAATAGACACTTGTGGTCCTGACATTCCTTCATAATCTTAAAAAACACTCGGAACCCCCGAGATTCTTAAAAAATCTTTTTAGAGATTCAAACAAATATGAATTTTGCAATTAAGCTCCGCCCTTCAATCTGACAACCAATGAAAAATTCATCATAATTGAGATAGTGGTGGGTGGGT